ACAGCCACCCAAATTACCCTGCAGCTCTCTATTTTGTGTGCAAAGAGCCTGCTGATTTACATTTACTACTGCTCCTCCTGGAGACCTCAGCAGGCACTGAAGAAATGCTTCCTTCCAGCTCCTTCTGAGGAACGTGTTTCTTTGAGAACCTCTCCTGCATTAATTAGCCCACAGACAAAATCATGCAAATGGGGCAGTGAGGCATAATCAATTACACTTGTATAACTGCTGATGGAACACGATAACTAATTAATGAGACCACGTGCTCAAACAAAAGAGAAATGCATTTGAAAACCTACAAGAGCCGAACAGTGTGTGTAATTCTGATGTGCTCACTGCACAGAAGACCAGTTCAGATTCCTAAATTATTGCACGCAAGGCTTTCCAGAAGCCAGAGAGACTGCTGATGAGAGTCAGCTGGGAGGGAAAAGCAGTTCTTTAGCAAGGACTAAAGGAACCTCTGTAAAAACAGCAATCTTCAAAGCAGAATTGGAGACTTAAAAACAATAGATTTTCAGAACCTGCGTTTGATACGCAGTCATTATTTTTTCTGTTTTGGACAACAAAGTATTAAATCAGTACTTCACCAAAAAATGTAATCTGTGTTTTTGCCATTGCAATTCACGTTGATATCCTGAAATGAAATAAATTGTCATAATGATGCATCAGCCAGGCTTTGCAATAGCAAAAATCCATTTTCTTTAGAGAGCCTCACACACTAATAAATAACCCATTCTGTGATTTACGTCAAATTTAAAAAGCTCTCACGGCTGGCCTGGAGCAAACCGTAATGACTTCCATTCTATGGTGCAAAAGTATGGATCTACGGGGGAAGAAAAAGAAGGTGCAGTCAAGTAATTACAGAAGCTGCTCCTGCATCTTATTAAAGCAAAGACATTTCTTCAATGAGTGGTGTTCTAGAACAGACTGTCTGGTCACTCGGCTCAAAGCAGCTCAATATAAATGCAGCTCTTGTCCACTGTGACATCAAGGTACAGCTGGAAGAGCATTATCTTTAGTGAGGTTTCTCTGCACCTGCCTTAGAACACCCAGCTGCATTAAGCACTCGTGCACTTCTGTTAGGCATCATTTTACTGGTGGAAAAGCAGTTCAGTTATTTCATGTGGCCCCCTAGAAGGAGCCTTCAGCATGGCAGTTCCAAGAAGTTCCTGGTTGCCCGGTTCTGCTCAGCTCACCCATCTATTGATCTGTCATTTCCCCATACTAACAGCATCATTCTGTTTCTTTAAGGCTTTTACTTCACCACCTCAAGACAACAATGAGAAACCAGTCCTTTTTAGAAATGTGCAAATTGATTATACATCTTTCTCCATAATTCTCTTTTTTTTTTTCCCTTCCTCCTAGTGGTTAAATAGCTTTTTGCAAACACAAATGGAGCACTTCATGCATATTGCATTACTTACAGTGCTGCACTCACAGATGGCTGGATGTGCCAGAAGTACCCGGCACTCAGTGCTACACCACTCTGCACCACACATAGTCAGTGCTCCCTGGACAAAAAGGGCAGAAAACATGTGGGAACACAGAATGCTTGCATAGGATGGCTTCCTGCAGGCCCAAGTGCACAGAGGTAGATGCAGAGCAGGATGCCCAGAGGGATACCCCTCAAACCCTAGGGATAATTCTCCCTATGGGATCCCAGCAGCTAGGGCCAGCTTCTTGCAAGGCTGGCACAGAATGAGCCCAGCAGTGCTCGAAATAACCCATCACCAAGGGATCTGCTGGCCTTCACCACAATCAGCTCCAGTTTCACCTCTGTGTGCTTTTCTTCACCTCCATCTGTTCCTCTTTGCTCACCTTTGTGGACATAGCGTCCTGATGTGGGTGTTCAGCTTTGGAAGAAGATCCCACAGGCTGCAAAACAAGGGGGTTATGCTGGTTTGGCTTTCTTGCACCGGAGACAGGAATACAAAGTTTAAGGACCCGTCTGCAGCACCACTGCCTTATGTCTTTAGTCAAGCTAAATTACTCAGTGTTTATTTTGCTTATTTCTCAGAAGGAGATGATGGTATTTGGCCAACTTGCAGCAATATTAGTATTGGTAGAGCACCTAAAAAAATACAGATGAAAGAAGAACAGAAAAGAGCTGTGCAGCCCCTCCAATCCCATTTTGCTATGAAGACAAAAACAGAAACAAAAAACACCACGTAACAGCCCTGGAGCCTTTTTTTTTTTTCAGTAGGCACATTGCTAAATTGGGCTTAAACCTAAAATATATCACTGCTTTTTTTTTTTTTTTTTTAGCAATAATTTTAGCTTAAAATAATAACTGCTCCACTTGAATGGAGGTAAAAAATTGGAAAGGGTTAAAAAAAAAAATCCCCAAATTAGCAGCAGAGGGGCAGATGCTGAACCCCTGCACAGTGCTCTGAGACTGTAAAATGAGCAGACAGAACTCCAAACCCACACAGAAAGCAGCAGTGTGACGAGCAGCCCACAGCAGCATCCCTGTGCCGCGTGGCCAACGGCGCTGACGTCATTCCTCTCCCTGCTGCCGGGCCGTAATGAAAACCACATCTTGTGTCTGCTCCTACTGCCCAGCTCACAGCTACCAGCCTAGTAATTAAAACTAAAAACAACACAGCAGGCAGGGAAGTGAGGCTGGCAGGGATTTTCCTCTCTCCATTTCTCTTCTCTCACACCGTGGGTTGCAGCTCTGCATCGCAGCTCTCCGCGCTGCCTTCCCATAAGAAATGCTGCAGCCCAGCTCCACGCACAGCCCCGCGTGGGGGCAAGAATGCTGTTGTAGCAGCAGGCATTGGGATGCTTTTGTATCTCTCTGGATTTATTTCTCATTCTGTCTGAGCACTGAGTCATCTCAATGCCCAGCTGCACCTGGGGTGAAACATGAATTTTGCTCTGCAAGCACCTGCGTTAATATTGCTGCTGTGGGATTTGCTAGGAGTCTGCTCTGCCCTGCTTTTCTAGGGCACGTAGAGTCATACAATGGCTGAAGTTGGAAGACCTTAAAGATCATCAAGTTCCAGTCCCCCTGCTGTGGGCTGGGATGCCAACTACTGGACCGCCTGCAAGGAGGAAGGGGCTTTCCCATCACCTTCCTGAAGCAAACTGAGGCCTCCATGGGCAGCAGGGAGATTTGCTGTGCCGTAATGACTTCTGCGAGGAGAAAGCTGGAGGAAACCCAACCGTTCCATCTCAGCGAGCACCCCTGGCTGGCTCCTTACCACCTGGAGCTCTCTCTTTTAATCTATCACCGTCCACACACTGATTCTCCTTGTGTTCCCTGCATTCTTTACAGAGGGCATTGCACAGGGACATCCCAGAGCCACCCAGGCAGAGGGCACTCATTAACAGGAGGACTAAATGAGTCACCCTGGCAGGCAGTGGGTGTGGGATGGGGCAATGAGGATGAAGCAGAAAGCAGCAGGTTTAGTTCAGGAGTAATTTGGCACCAAACCACACACTTAGAAAGCTGTGCCTCTGAACACCGAGGCCTCTCCTTTCGATGTGATTGCTGTTTTAGCTCATTTGCGCTAATGAAGAACGCTGTTGTGGTACAAACAGCGGTTGCTAACGAGCACGATGGCAGCAGAGTTAGCCGAGCTGGCCCAGGCACCCAGCACAGCCCCACTCAGCCTCCTGGATACGCAATGAGGAGGGCAGTCATCAAGCACAAGAAAAGCGCTTCCTCCCTCCCTCTGGCTGTGGATTTACACCAGTCTCCTAAGACTTCACCATTTACATAGCTGTGGAATGGATGAATGCGATTGCTGAGCAATGCCTGCACCTCGGTCTTGCCAAAATCCCCCCCTGCTGCTGTCTGCTTCTCCATGTCCTTGGGAGCATAGATGGAGCAGGGCAGACATAAGCTGTGTCTGCCCCAGGTAGGCATTATCCCTCCATCAGGCATGTCTTATGGCTGTGGGTGGGGGAGAGGATGTTTCCAAGTGATGGAGTAGCAATATGCTGCTCTCACTTAAATATCACTGATACTTTCAAATGATCACTTTCATTGAGTACAGCCACAATTACAGAGTAACTTCATTTCAGCTGATATTGAGATATTGCCTTCAGCAACTCAGGGCCCTCTGCCACCCCAGCTTCTGGCCGGGAAAGATTATTTTCTTACCTAACATACTGCATGAGGAAACTACACAGAAATAAGGGCATCTCGACTGCAGCTGTTCACAAACCAGGCGGCTATTTCTGCCCAGTGTTCTATTTAGCTGAGGTCTGTTTGTTGCAAACCCAGGCAGACCCACCCAAGTCCTCCCAGCGTAACAAGGAGTGCTGATAAAGACCTGCAAAGGAAAAGAATTAAATAAAGGATTGGACACAGCTGAGTGAAACACAGCAAAACCTCTGCATCAGCCCATGCCTCAGAGATGCTGTGCAACAGCTCTGGGTATGAGAAGCTGAGTTTGGGTTAGGGATCACTTTGGTTAGAGGAGCTATTCCCCCCATGGCTAAAATCTGGCACACAGGCACGTGGCCCTGAAGCAGCCAAACCCGGCTCTTATTCTCACCTCAAAGATTAACATTCACTCAAGAATGGCAACCATTTTTCACTATTAATATCCTTAGCCAGAACATGCATCCTTTCAGCTTGCGGTCGCTCAAGGTAAGGATCAGCGCAATTCAAACTGTGATCAACCAAAACATGAAACAAATGCTGTGTTTTATTTAATAAACTCCAGCAAGACAAGGCCGCCTGGTAGACACAGTGTAATTTGTTTAGGATGTAAAGACCGAAAAAATAATTGTTTTGGCTCCAAGGCAGTAATAATAATAAAAAATTACTGCATGAACAGGAAGGAAGCTTTCAGGCTAAAATTCATATTAAAGAAACAATATCACTTTTTTTTCTATGTATCAATATGCAGAGATTGTCAGTTCTCATTGTTTTGCTCCAAGTCATCACACGTCACCAGGAGGTTATTTCTCCCTGCTTGGGAACTACACTGTTAAAAACAAGAGAAAGAGAAGGAAGGAAAAGGACAGTGTCTGAATAGTGTCTGAAAATATGACCGAAGATGAAAAAACATGAGCTAATTCGTGGAGACAATCTTATGATCGGGTAGATGTAATCACCATGCAGAGCAGACAGGCTCAGGCGGCAGCATTTCAAAGCATTCAGAGAGGTGACCTGCTGTGCCCCAGCTCCTCGTGGTTGCCCAGGACCATTTTTGGTGTTGGTTGGGCTCTTGGAGGGTTTCAGGTTCCTGCTGTGTATGGGATGATATTGATAACTTACCCCCTTGGGACAACATCTCTTCCTTTGCTGCTTCAGCTCAAACATACACTGTGAGACCTTTTCTCTTTCTTGCAGCTGGGTTGCCATCACTGGAGAACTGGCGATGAGGCCACAGCCCTGAGCACGGATTCAGCCTGGGACACCCAAGCCCAGCAGCAGCCATGAGCGGCCTCCTGTCACGCCTGGACCCACGGCGGGTGCCATGGGGGGCTGCAGGCCATGCCCTGCGCTCCCGCGTCCTGCGCACCAAGCCTGTGGAGTCGATGCTGGAGGGCACGGGGACAGCAGGAGGCCAGGGCGCACGGCTGGCCAAGGTCCTCACCACACTCGACCTCATCTCCCTCGGTGTTGGCAGCTGCGTGGGCACAGGTATGTACGTGGTGTCCGGCCTGGTGGCCAAGGAGATGGCAGGGCCTGGCGTCATCGTGTCCTTCATCATCGCTGCCGTCGCCTCCATCTTGTCAGGTGAGTCTTTCCAGTGGGTTTTGAGCGAGGTCTCAGGTACACTCTGGCTACCTTCGTGGCTGAACAACATGCCAATGATTGTGCTGGTCTCGTGACATTGGGGTCACATCCGTAATGTGATGGCACTCAGGATGCACACGGCACGGAGGGGCAATGACATCTCCTTACACTGAAAGCCCCTTTTGCACTTGAGGTTCCCCACCAGCATGGGGTGCCCAGCTATGAGGAGCCAGGAGGACAGTGGCATCCTGCAGGTGAGGCCAAGCCCAGTGACTCCTCCGCTACCTTTCGAGCTGTTGTTATTGGCTCCTTTTCACTCAGGATCACTCTTTGAATTTCCAACAAAACAAAGCAAACAAAGCAACGTGCAGAGAGGGAGGAATTATATATTTTAGTGAAAAGTTGGTGAATTCCATTGCCTCCTGTGAACCCAGCTGAGCATATGGCCTGAGCTGCGGTTTCCACATAAGCCAGTACTGCTGGCATTTGTCCTTTCCAGATCAGTGCTAACGCGATGATGCGATGTCCCCACTCTCCCTGCTCACAGGACTTTGCATGCTGTGTCAGTCTGGCAATCCAGCTTGCGTGTGTGGGCTGGGCAAAGAAACCTGACTCAGTGACAAAGGACATCAATACAGGATGGGAATGACCTGACTCCACTTTTCAAGTCCTCAGGTTATTGCGCTTTCCCCATTTCCCACAGCCCATTTTGTGATGCGAATCAAATGAAGTGGAGCAACCTGGGTGGGTCAGCTCTGAGAAAACATGCTGTCCCCAAAAAGAGCCTTTTTCCCCCAAGCCGTGGGCCCTGCCCCGCACCAGGAAGCTCCTGCCGGCCCCACAGCCCTGCCGCTCCCAGCCCTGCTTTCATCTTCCCCCTGCTTGTGCAGCCCTGGGAAAGTGTTTTCCCAAGGATGCGGTGTTTTCATTATCTCCTTGGCCACTTCCTTGCTTCATCATTGACACTGCTGTTGTTTGTAACAGCAGCGCATTTTTGGCAAGTGAAACCCAGTAAGGGCTGGGAGCTGGACAGGCTGCAGTGGGGATTTCAGCTCTCACTTTCACATCCTGCAAGTGTGCATGGATGGATTTTAAGGAGCTGCTTTGGCTTGCAGCTCAGGCAGATATCCAGATCACCTGTGCTCACCCTTAGTCATCGAGTCAGAGCCCATTACCTGCAAATTATCCCAGAGTTTTTGGCTGAAAATGCTCCTGCCAGAATGCCTTGCAGATTGCTGGTGCTGAGAGGGACTGTAATGCTCAGATGTGGCTGAGGAGGGATGAGGCCATCAGCAGCAGAGGTTCATGGAAGTCAGGATTTCTTCTGCATCAAAAGGGGAAATAACCCCTGCAAAGAAGAGGTGGAGCTTAGCACTGTTGCAAGATCCCAGTTTCACAGAAATTTGGGGATCATCCTGGGAAATGGGAATGCCGCTGGGTTTGATGGCATTGTGGGTTTGTCGCAGCCCTACACACAGAGCAACATTCAGTTATGCAGCTTTATTTTCACTATTACACTACAGATAGGGCTGAGATCAGTAAGATAAAATCCACGTCCTAATAAGTTATATCATCTTCCTTTTTAAGCAGTGCATTGAGGGAAGTGCTGTGAACTCCACTTCTGCTGGAGCACCTATAGCACTTAAGATGCCCTGATTAATGCCACCTGCTATTCACTCAGTGGCAGTCAGGGATGTGCACAGGTCTTGCATCACTCATCCCCTGGACTGCTATTACATGCTATGATAAAAATTGGTTATTTTCTTAATATACACTGAAATCTAAAGCAGATATACCCTATAGGTTGCAATATCCAGTGTGTAGTGAAAGATTACTATTTTGGGATCCCTGTAGAGTAATTGAAAAATCAAACATTTTATACATATAAAAGTCTCTGCTCTGTCATTATCGCTCTGCATCAGTATCAATCCTCTTTAAGCCTTATCTTGTTGTTGGCTAAAAGAAGAGCTGCCAAGAAAGATTATATGATTTTTAAAGCTATCAAAGACAGAAACCAGATACTTGTCCCCACCAGAGCACCTGTTTCATAAATCATTCAGGCCTGCAGTTATCTGTGAGTGCCTTACCTTTGCAGAACGCATGCATTTTTAATCAGCTTTGAATAATGGTGTGGGGCTGGATGATCGGGACGTCTTGTTGCTCTCATAGCTGGGCCAGCTCTATAGACTCTATAAACTCAGTTTGGAAGAGTTGCATTGAAAACCATAGCCAGGGACAAGGACCCCACCTTGTGGGGTGGGTGGCCTTGCCAGCACTTATCCTGACCAACACCCTGGGAATTTCTGATTCCATCCATGACTACTAAATAAAATCCGATGGTTGTTTCAAGACAGCAGTGTCTTGAATCAGGATTTTATTGAAAAATACCCTGATGTAGTAAGCCTGGAAAGTATTAAATGCCACTGAAATCTCCTCCCAGGCAGTTCCAGTTACACACTTTTCACATTTCTTCTCTTCTTTACAAAGACAGTTTTGCAGTTACTCCTCAGAATGAAATCTACAAGCAACACTTAAGTGTTAAAATAACTTAGTTATTTCTGTGAGATGGCTTCAGACTCATATGGCATGGGTAGAGCGAGGATGATCAGGACAGCGCTCATGCCTGCACCTGCATTGTGGTGACCCAGAATAGGCACACAGCATCTCAGGAGAAAATGGCACAGAACACATTAGCATCCCTATCAGATGAAGAAGAAATGTCTGTCACCATCAAAGCTACTGTATGAAAACTGGGCCACCACGACCACAGCACCACACTGCCCACTGCTGCTCTCTGTGGATGAATTTCAGTATATCTTTTTTTTCATTCCAAACAGGTGTTTGCTATGCTGAGTTTGGTGTGCGGGTCCCCAAGACCACGGGCTCTGCCTACACCTACAGCTACGTGACAGTGGGGGAATTTGTGGCATTCTTCATTGGCTGGAACCTCATCCTGGAGTACCTGATTGGCACGGCTGCGGGTGCCAGCGCCCTCAGCAGCATGTTTGACTCACTGGCCAACCACACCATCAGCCGCTGGATGATCAGCAGCGTTGGGACGCTGAATGGGCTGGGTGAGAATCGGGATGGAGACATGTGCATCTTGTTGTGCTTCCTCTGTTAATTAGGGCCTGAAGTGTAATTGGAAGCTCGTCAGAAGTCAGACATGGATATTAGGCTTCATTCATTATTTACCATCCATTGGCCTCTGGTACTTTGCATCTGGTTCAGTCTGGGTTCTAGGTGCGGGGATATATGATCCCAGTACTTTGAGCCCCTGTCAACCAAACCAGCATTTAGAAGATCAGAACCCCAGAAAAAATGTTTTGATATCAGTGGGTAACAATAGCACAGGAACACTCTGCTCTGCTCAGCCCCATTAAGACTCACACAAATTTTAAGGAGAGCCTGCAGTACTGACATGTAGAAGCTCGGTGCTGTGATGGTTCTGTGTGACCAGCAACGGCTCTTATCAGTAACAACAGTGAGCTGTCTTGTAGCTCTGTTGTGAAAATTTAATGTTTGATTGACTTTTAATTAGTACTTATCAGATATCCATGATGCAAACTAGGATATGATTATTTGTTTTCTGCTCTCCAAAAACAGTGTCATGTCAGAGGCATCAGGATTTACCACCTCAATAAAAAAGCCATACCTCGCAGTGGCACAGTCACCTGGAGACCAGCTTTGCAATGAGAACAAGGAGTACTGCAGAACTTCAGGATCTGAAAAACACTGTCATAGAGTCATAGAATCTTTTGTGTGGGAAGGGTCATCTAGCCTAGCTATGGACAAACAGTTACGCACCTCTTTTCTCTTACCCAGGGAAAGGAGAGGAGTCATACCCTGACCTTCTTGCTCTGGTCATTGCCATCATCGTCACCATCATCGTGGCCATGGGTGTGAAGAACTCAGTGGGACTGAACAACGTGCTCAATGTGATTAACCTGATAGTCTGGGTCTTCATTATGATTGCCGGGCTCTTCTTCATCAAAAGTGACAACTGGTCTGAAGGGCAGTTCCTGCCGTTTGGATGGCCGGGGGTAAGTCCTGTGTGCACTGTGCCACACGGTGCCACCCCCACCGCGTGCTCAGCTTTGCTTGTGGTGTGCAGCCCCCGCTTCCACTTCGTTCCTCAGGTCCCAGCCCTGCTCAGCCCACCCAGCTTTGGCCGGAGGCCTCTAGCTCTCAGCTTGAGCCCATCCCTCCCCACTCTTCCAAACCTGAGGGACACGGTGATGCTTTGCCTGTATCTCCTGCCACTCTTAGAATAAACTCAGTCCTTTTCCTAGATGCCCTCTTGGAGAGCCAAATAGCACGTGAAAGCATACACCAGGAAATGTCATTCGTCATCAGGCTCACAGCAGCAAAACGCGGTGGCTGTCCAAGGAAGGGCTCGGGAGGATCCAGCCCATCCCCTGCAGAGGGGGAGATACTTTTGTTGGCTGCTTTTCAATAACAATGTTCTCGAGCATTTGTTTTGAGCACTTCATAATGCCACCTGCTAGTGCTTATTTTATGGATGTTCCCTCAAAACTTACTGAGAATTTGGACATATTTGGCTTTTTTAGCTTGCTTGCACTGGTTTTTATCCAAAGATGAACAGAGACTGAAAATATCTCAGCTGGCCTAAGCCCAAGATAACTTCTCAGATTTACACTGCTTGACTCCATAGGGATTTTGTGCGGAAAAATAAGCAAGAAAGTAAAGTAAACCAAAAATCTTGATTGCTGAAAGGATCCCAAGCTGACATGCCGTCCCTTCACCTCTGTAAATCAGCATTTTTCTTCTGGAGCATGGCAGTGAGGAGCAGTGCTCAGGCCCAGTTAAGAACAGAGGTCAGATTTACTTTTGGATGATACCTGTCTTTTTCTGCTATAAAATAGGAAAGAAAAAAGAGTGCCAAAAATAAGTGTTTTGTTCCAACTCCAAATCTCTCTTGGCAACAGTACATAGTTTTAAAAGACACATTATCCAAAACACATGAAAAACAATATGGTCTTCCTATGGTTTTCAGGTGGCTGTTTCTCTCTGAAATCATTTGTAGAAGTTAATCCACCACAGCACAAGCTCGAGATCCCCAGAAGCACAGAGATACTTTGAAAAGTGAATTACAGACTGTCCCCTGAAAGAGGTGAATTTTCCATCACTAAAGAACTGAGATAGATGTGATGGACATGGAACATCCAGCTAGCCAGATAATGCAAGGGCTTTGCAACTACAAGTTAGCTCTCTCCTTACAGCTACACAGTCTTTAGCCAGCTTCAGTGTTTGTTTCTTATAAACATGCTAATATTATACATTAAGAAAGAACATAATAAAGTAACTAGCAGTACAAATAATTCCCCTTTCAAGTATTCCAACCTGTCTGCAGCTTCCAAGCAAAGCAAAGGTTGTTTGGACAGTGGTTCATGTCTGACTGTCTATGCTCTGTTCTGCTTCCTCTGCTAGCAGATCTTGCTGCCTGATGAGAATTCCTGCTAACACGAAACACATGAACATGTTGGGGATGGGAAGTCAGTCAATCCCTCAAGATCCATGGTGTTTTCAGTGCCCCCACACAACCCTAACTCCACATCCCAGTGCAAGTAAAATAAGCACAAAATGGTTTTGCATGATCACTTGTTCCCAGTTGGGTGCCAGCCACCCTCATGGCACTGAGACAGTGGGTCCTCTGTGCAGGTGCTCAAAGGGGCTGCGACGTGTTTCTATGCCTTCATTGGCTTCGACATCATTGCTACCACGGGAGAAGAAGCAAAGAGCCCCAACACCTCCATCCCCTACGCCATCACGGCCTCACTCGTTGCGTGCTTGACAGCATACGTGTCCGTAAGTACCTGCTACATGTGTATATATATGAATACATGTCTGTACGTACTAGCTATACATGTACAGCCATCCACTGGCGGTCTGCAAGGGGTTGAAACAAGTACAGTTGTGTGGGGCAGGAACCCGTAACTGCAAGCTCAGGGCTTCTGCTAACCCTTTGTCCTACTCATCTTACCTTCCCCAGGTAAGCATCATCCTCACACTGATGGTGCCATATGATGCCATCGACACTGAGTCCCCATTGATGGAAATGTTCGTGGCACGTGGCTTCTATGCAGCCAAGTTCATCGTTGCCATTGGATCTGTGGCCGGCCTGACCGTCAGCTTGCTGGGCTCTCTCTTCCCAATGCCAAGAGTCATCTATGCCATGGCTGGTGATGGGCTACTCTTCAGGTCAGTCATACATACATTAGCATTTGGCTTTCTCCTTTGCATTTTCAGCCAGGTATGGGCTATTACAACAGGCAGACATTGCAACCTGCAATTTTAAACCTCTACAACTGTTTTCTTTTTGCAGGTTTTTGTCCCACGTCAGCTCTTATACAGAAACACCAGTAGTAGCTTGTATAGTGTCTGGGTTTCTTGCGGCGCTGCTCTCCTTGCTGGTCAGCCTGCGGGACCTGATAGAGATGATGTCCATTGGCACACTGCTCGCCTACACACTGGTGTCTGTCTGTGTGCTGCTCCTCCGGTACCAGCCCGAGAGTGACATCGATGGCTTTGTCAAGTTCCTCTCTGAGGAGCACACCAAAAAGAAAGAGGGTATCCTGGCTGACTGTGAGAAGGAAGCTTGCTCCCCAGGCAGCGAAGGAGAGGAGTTCACAGGCCCACCAACCAACACGTGTGGGGCAAAAAACCTTCCATCGTTGGGGGACAACGAGATGCTCATTGGGAAATCTGATAAATCCACCTACAACGTGAACCACCCCAATTACGGCACAGTCGACATGACTTCGGGGATTGAGGCGGACGAGTCTGAGAACATCTACCTCATCAAGCTGAAGAAGCTGATCGGCCCTCGCTACTACACCATGCGGATCCACCTGGGGCTGCCAGGGAAGATGGACCGGCCCACAGCAGCCACCGGCCACACGGTCACCACCTGCGTGCTCCTGCTCTTTGTCCTGATGTTCATCTTCTGCTCCTTCATTATTTTTGGGTCAGACTACATCTATGAGCAGAGCTGGTGGGCCGTTCTCCTTGTTGTGCTGATGATCCTGCTCATCATCGTGCTGGTGTTTGTCATCTTGCAGCAGCCAGAGAACCCCAAGAAGTTGCCCTATATGGCGCCCTGCCTCCCGTTCGTCCCCGCGTTCGCCATGCTGGTGAATATCTATCTCATGCTGAAGCTCTCCACAGTCACGTGGATCCGATTTGCTGTCTGGTGTTTTGTGGGTGAGTCCCAGATTATTTTATTACTGACCCTGTTTTCGAAGGGTGGTAATAGCAACGTCACCAATTAGTGCTTAGGTTAATGCTTTTTCAGTTGGGATATCCAGTCCCTTGCATTTGTTCCTCATAACGCTGGAGTTCTTAGAAATCTGTTATTCAAGCCCCCAAACTACAGCTAACTCAAAAATTACACCTCCAGAAAAATGTCAGTTTGATGAAAGCAAACTTCTTCATGCAAAGGTGACTGTTCTGATGAGTCTTTTGATGGAAAGTAGGTGGGTTTTCTGCAGAAATCTGCCTGCTTTCTTGCTATTTCACCCACTTGAGCTCTTTCAGCAGCCCACACCAAGATTTCAGCACCACATTTCTAAGATGCAAAGCTGTCCAACCCTAACAGTTCTGGAAGGGGCAATGCCAAGGGGCTGCAGGCTCCAGCTCCTGTTCTTGGCCTGAACCCTTCACTTTATGGCAGGGGGCTCTCAGAACATGTAGGCTCTGTTGTGAATATTTGGGCCACATTTAGTCTTCCTGGCACGTATCCAGCAGCCTGATATGTCTATAATCTTCTTTGCTTTATATTTCTATTCCCATCCTACAAAAACCTAAGAGAGAAAGTATAGCTCTCGTAACTCCTCCTGAAGGCTCCCAGCCTCAGACTACAGAGAACTGAAGCAACGAGGAATACCAGAACCAAGGACTCCTTAGAGAGACTTAGCAGCCGTATGAGCAAACACAGATATTGCAACAGCCCATAGGAACCCCAGCTGCAGACAGCAGACTCCAAGCTTCAGTGCCAACATCCAAAACAGCCATCTCTGGCTGAGCACCCCAGCAGATGCTCTTCCCATTGGGAAGGTGTGAAAGTGGATCATTGCAAACGTTGGAGGCAGCTGCTGCCTCCCATAAGGAAAAAGTTTGTCTGGTCATAATACAGACCTTGGATCTCCAGTATCCCAGAACAGTTTCACAGTTACCAGCCCTCACGGGGAGATTGCTACCAGCTTTCCTCCTCCATGTTGCCATATCCTCTCTTGCTTCAGAGTAAGGATGTGGGAGAGGCAGGCAGCTCTCACAGGTAATTCCTGAGGCCCCACAGCAAGGCTCCATCTGTGAGCACCTCTGAACCCTAAGCTGAGTTACTGAGGAGCTACATACAGCTCTTACACTAGAAAGGAGATGCTCAGAGTTTTTCTAGCTCACTCAGCCAATAAGTGAAGGAGCAAATCAAGGAAAGCCCTTTCACCTGTTCTTTAGAAGGAGAGTGGCTTCAGAGCTTCAAATCAATCTGCTGTGATTAACCCTTGCACCTATGTGCACATCTAACACCTTGTCAGGTGCCAGCAATGATAACGAGGTCACCCTGCTGATGTGTACCAGACTCTGGGTACACAGGGCTGTGTGTGCTGGCAGGAGAGATACTGAGAGCATAAGAAAATTCCAGAGGGAAAATGATGGCTGCGAGGCTGCCAGGGTGGAAATCTGGGCTTCCAACATAGGAGGCCAGGTTAAGTCTGTTGGGAACTGCTTTCCCACCAAGGCTGCAGGTGGCACAATCACACGGTTAAGCAGCCACCCCAGCTGATGTTTTAAACGCAGCTCCCCACTCACACACTGACAACATGCTGGCTTGAAGTCCAGACATCAGTGAAAACATGCATTCGCTTAAAAATAAAAGCAAAACAATATTTACTCAGATTAAGCCCTCACCAGCTTGAGCTGAACAGGAGGAGGCAGGATGGAGGAGGCTGGATGCTGGCACGGGCTGTGGGGACAGGTGTGGCTGTGGGGTATAGACTGGGCTAGAAGGGGAACGATGGCGCAGCGTTGTCCTCCCCAGCAACCTCTCATTCTCACTCACCCCAGGTCTGCTCATTTACTTTGGCTACGGGATGTGGAACAGCACGCTGGAGATCAGTGCCCGTGAGGAGGCTCTCCACCAGAGCACCTACCAGCGCTATGATGTGGACGTTGACCCTTTCTCTGTGGACGACGGCTTCTCCTACGCCACCGAGGGTGAGAGCTACCCAGACTGGGGCCCTCCCGAGGACAAGGGCTTCTCATACCAGCAAATGGCAGGAGCAAAGGAAAGCCATCGGACGAGTAGCAGATCGAAAAGCAAGGGAAGGCACAAACCGTCCTCAGAGGCCCTCATCGCCAACGATGAGTTGGACTACTCACCTGAGTAGTGGGGCGAGCAGGGGGACGCCGTGCTGCCAGCCAGCCAGGAAGGGCCTGCGGCTTCCCTGCCCCATCCTGTCCTCCACCACCACCCCGTCACCTCTGGTCCTCGGGTCACATGCCGCAACTGCTGCTGACCCCAAACCAAACCCACCCGAGGGCTTTGCCAGCTGAGTCCCATGCCAGGGAATGCTGGAGCCCTGGTACCTGCCGAGCCCCAATTGGCGCCCAGTGGGAGATGTGCCAAACTGAGGGGGCTCTGAGAGGTGGAAGGATTCACGTGGGAGGACGAGATGGGTTTTCCCTGGGGAATAGTCACCCTATGGCCACTCCTATGTGTTTGGCGCTTTCTTAGCACGTGTGCTTTTTCCTCTAACCACCCAGCAGTAATAGCTTAACCAGAGGGACAGGCAGGTAGGACATGAAAGTGAACCAGCTTCATCCAAGGGGGTGGCTCAGCTCAGTTGGCCCCATCACTTGACGTTTTCATGGCTGTTCCAGCACTAAGTGTATGCAACAAGGCCACTCCATGCTGGTCCCCAGGCCCTGAACCCAAAGATTGTAAATACCAGGATTCAGTCTTGCACTGCTCTAGACAGTCTCAAACAAATCCTGAAATCCTGGCATAGCCAAGCATCCTGAATCTGAGCTTGGCCTCTTTTCAGATCACACCTGACCTAGACTTATGCAAGCAGACAGCAAACTACACACAGCGTCCCTGAGGTTAAACTGGATGCTGCTCCCACCACTTTGTCTTTCCCAAAACAGCCAGCCCATTGTCTGTGAACTGTTGTGGGCACATCCCAGCACTCATTCTGGCCATGCTGTTTCTAACCTTGGCTTGGTGGATAATGCGTGAAAAGATACAAAAATGCTGCTTGTTCTAAAGACACGTCTAACGTGAAACCAAAAGGAGTGACTGGGAGGGCTTCAGGATGGGAGTTAGGGTTTGGTAAAAGGACCCATTAAGCTTCACTCTGGATCCTCTCCTGCTGCCCAACCTTGCTACACTTCCACAAGCAGAAACCCAAGAGCATCCCACCCAAAAGCCTCCACGATGCACATAAGCTCTACAATCCACTTGGGGATCTGTCCTACAGGCCTATCCCCAGCGGTGCTTGAAGCCCTCATGATGCTCACTTGTGCCCCGCTGCTCCCCTGAAGGATGCCTTTGAGATACCCAGGAGAGATGGCACCTGGCAGGTCTGGCTTTATGCTTTCAGAGAGAAAGATTGTTGCTGTTTTCCTACCAGCTCTCAAACTAAACCATGGGGTGGTCATCCTTGTCCCACTACCGCACGGTATTTAGGCATCTGCTGGATCACAAACATGTGCCCAAGTATCCTGCTGAGTCGAAGCCTGTTGTTCCTTTTGCAGCCTTAATCTCTTGCTACAGAGCAGTTTGCAGTACCAGTGTGTGTTGTTGTGTCCACCTGAGTATCATTTGGTGAGAGCCTGATCCCTTGCTCTTTGGCGTCTAGGCTCCTGTCATTGTATCAGCTGAGTGGGGCCCTCTGGCTGCTGTGGTTCCCCTGCAGCCATCCACCATTCCTTGTTCCTTCTCCATCATTTTCCCATCCCTTCTCCATCCATTCCCCTTCATCTCCATCCCATCCTCATCCATTCCCAGGGAAGCAGGGAAGAATGGCTGCCCACAACTCCAGGGCCACCAGCAAAGGTCATTTGGTCCGTCACCTCTGGGCAGCATTGGCCTGGGGCTAGTTTGGGATGCTGAGAGGAGCCAGGAAGCTGACGCAGGTGTTGCTGTAACCCAAATATATCTCCATGCCCTAAAAGGAGATTTTCACGCAGCCACCACATTACAAAAGAGCATTGCCAGCACCACCGCCGTCCCGCTCCATGCCAGGAGCCAGCATCCTGTTGCTGGAGCCCAAAGCATGACCCAGATGGAGCAGAAATACCTCACATCCCCCAGACCAACCCAATGAGATCTTGGTCCCTCTGCAGGTTGTGACCACAGCAGCACGACCCAGCACGCATCCTCTGCACAGCAGAGCTCACGCCCCGAGCGACGCCGGTGTCACAGCCCCAGCTTGTAAATGATCCTCACTCCTCTCGTTTTGTTTTTGGTCTTTCTGATGTAGATCTTGCTTTTTTGCAGATGGTACTTTCCGGTGTAACAGTTCTCTGCAGTTCTGATATGAAATTGGTGTATTTGTTAAAAGAGTTTGTTAAATTATTTTATTTTATTTTTGTGGTTTCCAGAAGCCCATTGGTGCATTGTACAATGGGGTCTTGTAGTGTGTCATGAGAAAGAAAAAAATATGCAGATATATTATGGAGTGACTTTTATTTTCAGATGATTGTGTTGTTGAAAATGATACATATATATATATATATTATCAAGATACTATGAAAGAAATCTAAATTTACCAAAATCTGTATATTTTAATAAATGCATAAAGCTTTATTGTGTGCCTTTACATTACAACAGACAGACAAATGAAAGGGAACTAATGGATTTTTAAAGGAAGTTGGAGATAAATGTGTCTCAGCATCGACTTCCATAATAATGTAAATCTTTTAAATGAAAGAATAAATAAATTTAAAAAAAAAAAAAAGATTTTTCCCATATAAATTTTGTTAAGCTGATCAGTACCTGAAAGTCCAGCATTTTTTCGATGTTAAATAGAAGTCAGAGATGAAAAAAATCTTGCCTTAAGTGCTTCAAAATTTCCTTTGTAGAAGATGCAGTTCAATGGGCTGACTTTGGTATTTACTTGCACTGTTGTGAAAAAAAAAAATGGTTATCTGTTTGCACAA